CTTTGGCAGTCTTCATGAATATGCATGCATCACTAATCTCAGGCACCATGGAATTCCATAGCCATGATATTACAACAGCATCTTCTTCATCCCATGCAGCAAATTTCCCGTCTGTAGCTTCTGGAGTATCCTTTCCAGTAAGATGATTCAATTTGCCCTTCCCCTTTAAAAAGGTTTGGACAAAATGAGACCATTTGAGGTAGTTTTTACCATTGAGACGAAGGCTAGGTTGAACATTTTTCAGCTCAACAGAGCCGGTGTTTGGGGCAGGGGTATTAACTGGTTCAGACGTTCTGAATTTTGTTGGGAAAAACGGCAAGATAGACCGTAAAATAAAATCGGCAATGCAGGCCGCACAGCGGAAACAATGGCAATGCAGGCCACAATTTTTAACAGGCTCCTATGGATTTTGGAGCTCTGATACCATGACAGAGATAATGTTTCTTATATTGATTAGAGCAGCCTGTGCTCTTAAATAGAATACAATATATTTAGGAAAGGAAATTCCTAATAAATACTTATCATTGCCCTCAATCAATTCTATAAGTAAGGACCAATAATTTCTATAAATACATACACAGCTAATCAAATCCTATTTATGGGATTTTAATCCTATTTAACTATAAAATATACCACTAATTAACACATGTACAGCTCGTTCTGACAGTTTTCTTCGACGATATCTTAGTATACAGTGCTGATTGGGAGTCCCATTTGCAACATTTGCAAATTGTGTTGCAAGTGTTAGATGACAATGGGTTAGTAGCCAACAAGAAGAAGTGCCTCTTTGCTCAGAAATCCATTGACTATTTGGGGCATGTCATATCCCGAGAAGGAGTAGCGGTGGATCCTAATAAGGTAGTCAGTGTGACCCAATGGCCTACACCTAAGAATGTGAAGGGAGTTAGAGGCTTCTTAAGGCTGACTGGATATTACAGGAAATTTATCAAACACTATGGCAGGATAGCTAAGCCGTTAACAGAGTTGACAAAGAAAGACGGGTTTAAGTGGGGAGATGAAACTCAGAGAGCTTTTGAAGAGTTGAAGGTGAAGCTCACTACAGCACCTGTCCTGGCTCTACCTGATTTTAGTAAGCCATTTGTAATCGAGTGTGATGCCTCTGGTAGTGGTATAGGGGCAATTCTAATGCAGGACAAACGGCCGATAGCTTACTTTAGTAAGGTGTTGGGAGTAAGAAATATGTCCAAGTCTGCATATGAGAAAGAACTCATAGCATTGGGGTTGGCTATACAACATTGGAGACCCTACCTCCTTGGCCGGAAATTCATTGTCTCGACCGACCAAAAGAGCCTCAAGCAACTGTTGCAGCAGAAAATATCCACTGCAGAGCAGCAAAACTGGGCTGCAAAACTACTTGGTTATGATTTTGAGGTTGTCTATAAGCAAGGCAAATTAAATAAAGGGGTTGATGCCTTGTCTAGAATGCACGAGTGAATGGAGTTGAGGAGTATCACATCTTTTCTGCAGTGGGACCAGACACAATTAATGAAGGAGGAGGTGCAGAATGATGAGGAATTACAAAAAATAATAGCTGAACTGTCACAAGATCCGGTTTCCAAACCTGGATATGTCTACAAACATGGGGTCTTAATGTATGATGGTAGACTAGTCCTTTCAAGACATTCAGCCATGATTTCTACGCTATTGAAAGAGTTCCATAGCACTCCACAAGGAGGGCATTCGGGGTTCTACAAGACATATAGAAGGCTGGCGGCAAATGTATATTGGGTGGGAATGAAGGGAGTAGTGCAGGAATTTGTAAGAAGTTGTGATGTTTGCCAAAGGCAAAAATACTTAGTTTCTTCACCGGGGGGTTTGTTGCAACCTTTGCCCACACCTGAACGCATTTGGGAAGACATTTCTATGGATTTCATCACCGGCTTGCCGAAATCCAAGGGGTATGAAGCTATTTTTGTAGTAGTGGACAGGTTGTCTAAATATTGTCACTTTATTCCTCTTAAGCATCCATATACGGCTAGAAGTTTGGCTGAGATTTTTAGCAAGGAAGTAGTCAGGTTGCATGGCATACCTATGTCTACAGTGAGTGATAGAGATCCCATCTTCATGAGCAATTTTTGGAGAGAATTGTTTAAGGCCCAGGGAACTCAACTCAAGATGAGCTCGACCTACCACCCGGAGTCCGATGGCTAGACAGAGGTAGTTAACCGGTGTTTAGAGATGTACCTTAGATGCTTCATCTCTGATCAGCCCAAGACTTGAATGTCATGGCTACATTGGGCTGAAATACTGGTTCGATACTTCATTTCACACTACTACAGAGTACACCCCTTTTGAACTAGTCTATGGTAGACCTCCCCCTGTGATGTGTAGATGGGTTCAAGGAGAGACAAGGGTTGAGGCTGTGCAGAGGGACTTAGTAGAAAGGGATGAGGCAATCAGACAGTTGAGAAGTCATTTGCACAGAGCACAAAATAGAATGAAGGCTCAGGCTGATAAGAAGAGAAGTGATAGGAGCTTTGAAGTAGGAGAGTGGGTCTTTGTTAAGTTGAGAGCGCATAGGCAAAATTCTGTGGTTACCAGAACTTGCTGCTAGGTACTATGGACCTTACCCTATTACGGAGAGAATTGGAGCGGTCGCCTACAAAATGAAATTGCCAACAAGTTCCAGAGTTCATCCAGTGTTTCATGTATCATTATTGAAAAAAGCCGTGGGACAGTACCATTAGAATAAAGAGCTGCCAGACCTTATGGCAGGAGAGCAGGAAGAGGTGTTTGAACCTGAAACTGTGCTGGCTGTGAGGACAGTACAGAAGCAAGGTGAAGAGGTGAAACAATTACTTATTCATTGGAAGGGGAAGACAGTAGAGGAAGCTACTTGGGAGGACTATGTCATGCTCAAAAGTCAATTTCCACAATTCAACCTTGAGGACAAGGTTGCAGTTGAAGAGAGGAGTATTGATAGAAACAATGATAATAATTTACAGTTACCAGGACAATTAATTCATCATGCCTCTAGTGGTCCCAGAGTTTGGAAAGTATATTCTAGAAGGGGTAAAAAGGGAATTGGAGGCTGAGTTAGTTAGCAATCATGGGGTGGCATGAAAGAAAGGAGCAGTACGTTTCCACAATATAAGGAGCAGTCAGTAGAGGGAATAATCATCTTTGGATTGTAGCTAGATCTAGAAGGAATGAATAAGATACTCTAGTATCCTATAGGAGCGTAGCTCTGGACCCATTTTGGGATTGACACATTCCATTCTTTGTACTTGTTTCCATTTTCCATCAATAAAGCTTCTCTCCCTCGTATTTTCATAACTGTTTTACTGCTACATCGATTATTGCTCTGTTGGTTCGTATCAGTTTACTTCTAATCCCCATCATATTTATAACTTTTTGAATTATGATCGATTGTCTCCTTCCTACTACGCTTTCATTTGTCTTTATTCCTAAGACACTTCAAAAAACATCATCTCATCCAGGGTGAAGATATTACTTGATTGATGAGATGTCAGCTTTAGAATCTAATCGTATTTGGGAGCTTGGTCCACCTCTTCCTAGAAATTTTGATGTTGTTCACAAGTGGGTGTTTAATTTTTATAGTGGGCCCCAAGGGAGAATTGGATTGATGGAAGGCTCTCCTAGTGTCAAAAAGGTATACTGAGGTCTATCAGGATAAGGGTGGTACATTCTCACTCGTTGCGAAGATGGCCTTTATTCGCCTCTTTATAGCTATGGCTACCATGAAACATTAGTCCTCAGTTGAGTTGCATATCAATAATGCCTTGTTGCATTGTGATTGGAAGTGGAGATTGATATGGAGCAACATCCTGGAAGTTTGTACTTATACTCATCCAATTTTGTTTTGCACGGTTGTATGGTTATGATTCGATAGTGAATGCTATAATATGGAAATTAAGTTTGCATAACAAAGTTGGACAATTATCAATAATGTTACATTTGTAGCAATAGTAATATATTCTTGACAATTAGTAATGAAGTTACTTAAGAAATTATCTTTTTGAGTCTACAAAATTTAATTACCAAATCTAATATATAACTTTGCAATAGTAGCAATGTTACAAAAAAATCATCTCACATTTTTTTGGGTCTGTTCAGGTTTTGTCTCAAATACATCCGTTTTGATTTGACCTGGTGTGTTTGGGTTTAGGGTTTTCAAAATGGCCCAATCAAAATTTTAGACAGGGTTAGGGTTGGCGATAACCCATTTTGACCCTTTCCTTGGTCACCCCTACCTGAAACAATCATCTCGCACATGGTTTAGTTGAATCAGCAAAGTTCTGCAGTAGTTTGGGATGATCCGATCCAAGTCATATCTTTCTTAAATGCTTCTCACCAAATAAATATATCCATCTTGTGGTTTATGTTGATGACATTGTGATTACATGTGATGACTATGAGGGTATCAAGGCATTGAAACAACACTTATTTCATAACTTTCAAACCAATGATTTGGGTCATCTATGTTGCTTTCTTGTGATTGAAGTAACTTTATCAATGTCAGGAATTGCTATATCTCATAAGAAATATGCACTTGATATTTTGAAGTAGTTTGGTAAAACTCCTCCCTGGTCAGGGGAAGCCCTATCTTGATCCATGTAGATATCCAAGAATAGTAAGAAAATTACATTATATCACCCTAATCAGACCTGACATATTTTTTAATAAGTCTATTAAGTCAGTTCCCTAACTCTCCTCGTGACAGTCCCTGGAATGCAATTGTACGAATTCTTAAGCACATTAAGAGGTTACATGATAATTTTTACATTTAAACAAAAGATTGAATGAAATATTGGCTCATAAGTTATCTTTTGTTGAGGTAATATGTAAATTTTTAGATAAAAAGATGTGCATATGTATATTCAGCAAGATTTTCTTAGTTTGGTGGAGCCGTGGCAGAATCTAGTCCTCCCTCCCCCCTTTCGTCCCCACAACAGTTTATTTGCTCTGTGGACATTAATACCTTTTTTGGCATGTCCAAATTATATTTTTTCCTTTAGGTTTTGGACGCATCTCTAGCACATGGGTCAGAGCTCTGGATGTTCAATGATGTTCTAGAAAAGGAGAGGGAAAAGAAGTTAACCGATGGTGGCCTTGATATAAATCGGTTGGAAAACATTACACTAGTTAATCGTGAGGGGAATGCTGTTATACGTCGTCACTTGGAAAGCCTTCCATTAGAATCATTTGATTCAGTAAGTGACCTTTATCAGTTTCTCCTCTATACTTGTATTACTACTTGATTCCTATTCTTCATCATACATAATGTAATGGAACCACTATGGGTTCTGCTATATTATTTACTGTAGTGTTTTTTTAGCAAATGATATAATTGTACTGACTAGTTGGTGGCAAGTTGGGTCTAGACATACAGTTAAATTATGATATGGTGAAGTATTTGGGACTTATCTGTAGCAATTATAATGTCTGCAAGTTGATGATGATGGAAATTCTGCTTTTTTTGCAGATATTGATTTTGGCAGATGAGTCAGTTGAGGATTCAGCCATTCAAGCTGACTCTAGATCTCTTGCCACTCTACTTTTAATCCGTGACATACAAGTGAGTTGTTCCAATCTACAAAATTTGAGCTTTGATTTGATATGATGACCCATTATTCTGCTACCCTATAAACGTAGTCTTTTAGCGGTAGATCATGCACATAGTATCAATTAGGAATGGGGATGTTTTTGCAAAAGTCCATTGGTGATTATCTATAGTTTCATCTCTGGGCTTTTGGCAATTTTGCTTGTATGTGAATGCTGGCTACACATTAGATACATTTGCTGAAATCTCATGGTGTGGAAGCTTATGAGGGCTGTATCTTGATGGATTTCTTTAGGTTTTTCCTTTATTCTTATTAGTTGATTCTAATTCCCTCCAAAAGTTTCTTTCCTGTGATATTGAATTTTCTTCTTTTCATGTTATACTGTTTCAGAAGCTTTGATGTTTGGATTTCAGGCCAGGCGTCTTCCTTATGTAGCTATGGTAAGTGAGGCTCATGGAGGAAGCTTTTCAAAAGGGTCATGGATTGGGGAAATGAAGCAGGCCTCCGATAAAACAGTTATAATTAGTGAAATTTTGGATCCTAGGACAAAAAACCTTTTGTCTATGTCAAAAATTAGTGATTATGTTTTATCAAATGAGCTTGTGAGCATGGCTTTGGCGATGGTTGCAGAAGATCGGCAGATAAATGACGTATTGGAGGAGCTGTTTGCGGAGCAGGGAAATGAAATGCATATACGACAAGCAGATGTATACCTCCGTGAAGGTGAAAAATTGAGTTTGTATGAAATAATGTTAAGAGCTCGAGAAAGGAGAGAGATTGTGATTGGATATCGTTTAGCAAATGCAGAAAGGGCGGTTATTAATCCTCCGGCGAAGAGTGAGAAACGGAAGTGGTCGGTGAAGGATGTTTTTGTGGTGATTACTGAAAAGGAATGAGGCATTGGTGTTACTTTGTAAATAACAAGGTTAAGTTGATAGATGTTATACTTTTTTCCCTTTAAAAACATATTCCAAAGGCAGGTCTAAATAAACAAAATGTTGACTACCGTTGAATGAGAAAATAAAGGAGACATCTGAGTAAGTTTCATTATATACGACTTATCACATCAATTTCAATAGAATATGCCCACTTACTCTGTTCCCTTTCAATATATTTTGTAATAATATACGTGAAAATTGAATATTATATTTCGATATGAATAAAATACAAGTACTAGTCTCTTTTTTATAGATTATTCTAATCTAATGGGATTGACTACTAAAGGCTAGAATAGAAATTATCTAGTAAACTAATTATTTACAAAATTCTCTTTTAAATTGGCCAATAAATAATATTATTTAGAAAGTTATCATTGTTTAACCATTTAGATACAAGACTTTCATTACATGGAGTGAAAATAAGTCAATGTCTAATTTTTTTCTTTACCAAGTGTTTGTCAAGTTTAATATATTTGGTTATATCATGCTGCAATGAGTTGATCACTCTTTATCTTCAAGTTTTCTAAGATCATTTTCAATCACAGTAGTTTTCATATCTCTTGTGTTATTAACTCTTTAGTATTAGAATGGATAAAATAAAGATAAATCATTCTTCTAGAGAGATGTTCTCTCTTCTCTCTAGAATATCTTCCCCAAATCTTTAAGGTTTGATGGTGGTTGTCTCCCACGTTTATGGTGGCTCCCATCTACCACTCTTATGGTGGTCATTCCTCCCTCTATAAAGAGTAATTTCTCTTTCATCCAATTCCATTCTCATACTTCCATAAGATCTAGCCCCCTTATCAGATTTTCCCTTTTTTCACTGCAAGCCATTAAACCGCCTCCATTTCTGTTGAACCGGGCGCCGCCAGAGCCACCAACACTACTAGGAGATGGAAATATCGTCAAGGTTGGTATTGTATCTCAAAATCGTCCCTCCACTATTTGCGCTCTGATGGCTACGATTCGCGCACCCCAAAGTTACAGTAGATTTACTACATGTTGCAATTTGTCCCTCTTTCAGATCTATCCATTTATGTTTTGGTGTTGTCTATTTATGCTTTTGTCATTTGGGATTTAAGACCGTATTCATAGGATTTGATAAAAAGTCTCAAAAGATTTTTGTATTTTGGAGCAACACTATCTTAAGCCATCAACAAAGTTTTGAGCTTTCCATTAAAATGGACAATCTTGAGAATAAAGGAAGTTGATATGCGTAGGGACAAGTCAAAGAAATTATCCTTAATTGGATTTGGAAAAAGACTATAGATTCACATTATTGTATTTCTAGTAATGATGTTCTTAGGAGAGTTGATGGATGGATGATTGGTTGTTGTTTCTGGTTTGGTTGTGTTCCTTTAACTTATGTTAAATCTATGTGTAATGTCTTAGATGCTTTTGAACTATAGATGAAATTTATCCTATACCATAAGTCTCTTGATGTTTGTAATGTCTCTTGCCTTTTCTCTTAATGAAATGGTGTTTCCTATAAAAAAAAACCTCTCTAGTATTAGATAAAAGTAACATGGAGCTCTCTAAAGAATAGATAAAAGTAACAAACTTCCTAACAAGTAGGAATTTATTAAGGAAACAGAGTAAAAAAGTCGACATGGAATAAAATAATTTAATGTTGAGAAGAAGGAAATTGTGACACTAGTTTTTGAGGAACTGAATTCGAACACATAAACCACTTTCCGGAGGACCAAATTAAAAGTTAGGGTTGCATAACTCATCTAGTGCCTAAGATCGTTACTCAAGGAAGGGATAAAAATCTGAAATAGTCAAAATAGTTGAATAAAAAATGTTCCTAGAAGAGGAGGAATAAAAGAGGCAAAAGTTTGGTATGTGTTTAAAATAGGTATTAACGGCTTTCTCAAAAGATGTGTGCATGGGAAATGCTACTACCATAACCCAACTGCAAAATTGTTCAAAGATAGTTTCCACAATTGCGCGATCTGAACTTTCTATTTTGTAGCGCATCGCTCTCTAACCAAACCCACAACATGATTTTTCTATTGCAATATAACAATTTTATTTTAAACCTTGTGATTGCGAACACATCTTTACTCAACTATATATGCATTATTATAGTTAGATTTTTTATATATCCCTGTGAGATATTGGATCTAATTTTAATATGGTTGAAGAATAGCTTCTTGGTTCAACAATTCAATAGGATCTTAGCATGTCGTCGAAGTCTGATCACATGTTGTAGTCCAAACTCTGCAATGTTGAAGTTGAAGTATGCTCAAGTGCGCAGTAGTCAAAATGCTAGGATTATTAGCATGTCAAATTAGGTATGTTTGTTAAGTCTAATTGTTTAAGTTAGATTGTTCTCTAAGTTAGATTGTATAATGAGCGTGTGTGTGTAAAAATTCATTAGTTTAGTTTGTTAGTTTTCTTATAAATAGCATACTAGTCTCTCATCATTGCACAAGGCAAATCCTAATTAGGGTGAGAGAGGTTATTTGTTATTCTGTAACACTTGTAATCTTGTTTCAAAGAGAAAGTAAAGAATATCAGTTTATAATCAATTTCATTGTCTCCATTTTCATTTCAAGGTTTCTTGATATTCAAGAATGTGTTTATACATTTTTATTCTTGCATTGTTTTTCAGAACAAATTGGTGCGATGAGCATGGAGAAAGAGGCTGTCAACGAAGTAAGAGATTGAAAAGTTCATCGGAATGAACGATTTCGATCTGTGGAGCTTAAAGATGAAAGCTCTAATGGTTTAGCAAAGTTGATTAGAAGCGTTGAAGGGAGTCACAACCATGGATGTTGTGTTAACGGAAAAAGAAAACATAATTATGGTAGAGAAAGCTCACAACTCTATCTTATTGAACCTTGGTGATAAGGTTCTCCGACGAATTTCGAAGGAGACGACGACATCGAGTTTATGGGTGAAACTCGAAAGTTTGTACATGACCAAATCGTTGGTCAACCGTCTCTACCTGAAGCAAGCTCTGTTTTCCTTCAAGATGAGTGAAGACAAAGTCCTGGCTGAGCAGACGGATATGTTCAACAAGTTGATTCTTGATCTTGAAAATATTGATGTCAAGATCAAAGATGAAGATCAAAAGTTGGTGTTGTGTGTTTTTCCTATATCACACGACCACTTCAAAGAAATTCTCTTGTATGAAAGAGAGTCTTTGACCTTTGAAAAAGTTCAATCAGCCTTGTGTTATAAGAATTTGAACTAATGAAAGGCGCATAAGTCATCTTCGACTGGTGAAGGTTTCTCGGTTAAGGAGAAATTCACAAGGAGAGATGGCAAGTTTGACAAGAAGAAGGGTAAAAGTAGTCTTATGGTGGTGATGCATCTGGTATTCGATGTTATCACTGTAAGAAGGAGAGCCATACAAGAAAAGTGTGCCCTGAACACCCGAAAGATCATGGGGGAAAGGATAATGGAAACACATCCATTGTTCAAGATGATTTAGACTCATCTGATGTTCTTGCGGTTTCAAGCAGCAACTTGAGTAAGGAATGAATTATGGATTCGGGTTGCACTTGGCATAAGAATTCAAACAAAGACTTGTTCGAGGAACTGTGTGATCAAGATGATGGATCTATATTGTTGAGAAACAACAAAGCTTGCAAGATTGCAGGTGTTAGATATGTGAGATTCAAGCTTCATGATGAGTAAAAAAGATTGTTGACTAAAGTTAGGTATGTACTTGATTTAAAGAGAAATTTGATTTCTCTTGGTGAATTCGACAAGAAAGGATATGTTTTTCAAGGAGAGAAAAATATCTTAAGAGTCATGAAGGGGTCGAAGGAAGTCTTGAGAGGCGTGAAGAAACAAGGCTTATATATCCTTGAGGATGAAGTTGTAAGTGGTTTTGTAGATGTTGCATCCACCAAACATTTGTGGAAGACAAAATTTTGGCACATGAGATTGAGTCATGTCAGTGAAAGAGGTCTCGTCGAACTGGGGAAATAAAATCTGCTAGGTGGAGACAAAGTCGAAAAACTGAAGTTTTGTGAATCCTATGTACTTAGAAAATCTTGCAGAGTGAAGTTCAAATAAGGCAAACAAAAAATACATGGATCTCTTGATTACATCCATGATGATCTTGAGGCCCTGCAAGGTGTCCATCACATTCAGGAGCGAGATATTTTCCATCCATAATTTATGATTATTCCAGAAAGTTATGGGTATTCATCCAGAAGACTAAGGATGAAACTTTTGAGAATTTTAAAAGTTGGAAGACTCTGATAGAAAATCAGACTGACAAAAAGATCAAGAGGTTAAGAATCGACAATGGCCTTAAATTTTATAATGAGACGTTCGGCAATTTTTGTGCATCCTCTGATAGAAGTGTTCGCGGTTCGGTTTAAATCGATTTTGAGACAAAAAGTCATTCGTTCCAAAGATTCAAAGAGCATGCGGTTTGGTTCGGTTATTGGATGACAAAAAAATAAAACCAATTCAATCCGATCCAATTTATGCGATTTACTTCGGTTCAATTTTATTCGAGTTTTAAACAAACACTACTTCCAAATTGAAAAGAATTTAAGTTCTAATATTTAAAAAGAAATCCATACCAGTACCATTTTAGTGTACCCGAATATTTTACCTTAATAAGGGACTCAACTATTCTAACTACCAATACCATTTTAGAATATCTATGAATCGGCATCCAATTTCATAAGATCAAACAGCTACTTCACAATAAACACTTTAATTCTTTGTCCACTGAAAGTATACTTAGTTAAGTAAAGTTTTGTAAAGCAATCATTGTCCATTGAAAGTGAGTATAAGGCTTGGATTCTATGTAATCACATCTAATTGAGAATAAACACTTTAATTCTTGTATATATGCAAATTTGATGTGAGTATAATTTAATCAAGTAATTTTGGAATCAAAGACACCAGGTTCAATAAATACTAGGCCAGGCTGGTATTATCAGCACACAGCAGTGCCAAAAACATAAATTTCAACAAAATTGCAGCAGAATTGATAGAACAACATCAATAGAACAGCAGCAAAATCGCAGGAAAGCATAATTTCAACAATCAATTCAAAATAATCTCAACAGAATTGTATCAACAATCATTTCAAAATAATTGCTGTTCTAAGTGATGAAAAGAGAGATTTTCTGGCACAACTCCAGCTTGATAATCAAAATCACCCTTCTTTCTAATTAGATTGCAACAGTTCCAACATCATCACCATTCTTTCTAATTAGCCCGCAACAAATATATCAATAGAATGAATCATGTGAATCAACTAAACAAGCAATATGATCATGTTAGCATAAGGAATATAGTAATACCATAACAAGAGTAGCTCAAAGTGCAGCAGCTAATCAAAATCAATATCATAAGCATCTTCATTCAATTATGAGATTGGAGCAAGTTCTATAAAAGTAAACCATATTTCAGATGAAAACAAAGATAAATATTAATGAATAAATAACAACACTCAACAAAAAATAATGTAAGTTATAAGTAATTTATCTAATTTCAAAATTTTTAACTCTTCCATTAGCTCTTTAATATCAATTGACGCCGGGGAGACTTTACACCAATTTTGTGTACAAATTAAAGCTTGAACTGATTTTTAGCGTAAGAGAGTTTCTATAACAAGTAAGCTCTCTACCTCCGGTAAAGAAAGTAGACTCTGAAGCTACAGTAGACACAAGCATTGCCAATACATCTCTAACCATTTGACCACGAACAAGATACTTGTTAGAATTCACTTTTCATCAATTCAAGATATAAAAACCAGGACTTTTCTTCTCTAACTTCTCCACGAGATACATATCCACTTCATTTTTCTGCATGCTCTCATTAAGATTCATGTCCATCTCAACCTCCAACAAAAATATATTCTCTAGTGCTTTAAGTTCTACCAATTCCACTTCATGAGAGGAATGCGTATGATTTTCAATTTTACCTTTACCAATAAAAAGTCTATAGCTCTCAATATTTTGTATAATGTCTCCTATGTTTTTTTTTACACAAAGATTCGGCAACAACCTTCACATATACCCCACCTAACAAACTGCATCTTATATCGAGGATCAAACACAACAGCAACAAACATCAACACATTCATTTTTTCAACATCAC